AGGAATGTATGCCTTTAATGTAAATCAAGAAAGAATCAAGTAGGATAATGTCTGTGAAGATACCCATGGATAAAACAGGCAGCTGGGAGGGGAGACAGATTTTCAGTGAATGAAAATGATTTATAGCTTCCTTGATGGGAGGACACTTCAGTGCCTTATCCCAGTTAAAGATCAGCTCCCATTTTTTGGGAGTATTTTATGGGGCAGTGCAGCCATTTGGCTTTTCTGAATGGTGTGGAACACTCAGCTGAGCAGGAGAAAGCTAAGGAAGTTCCCCCTCTGTATAATTGTTAAAATTAGTGTTTATATAATACTTCAGGCACCATAAATAACAGTGATTTTGTAATATACAAACTACACACTGAGCCTGCAATTCTGTTTTCCTATTTTTATGCTGCTGGATATACCTGAAACTAGCTTTTAATGAAATACAGCCTACTTTCACACATATTAGTAATTTTTATTTTCTTTTGGGAAATGAAATGAGTGCTACAAATGCTGGTACCACTTCCACCATAATTCCACTTGCATTTCATTTGTCTTTAACTCCCAGAGAAAGACTCAGCTATTCCCCATTTTGACAAGTCACATTGATAGACCTGAGACAACCCAGGGCAATTCAGTGTGGCATTCACATTCGCTGATAAAATTTCTTCATCCAGGATTTCTCCTGGGAAGCTGAGAAGCCTCAGAGAAAAGGAAAACAATTCTGATCTCATTTGCTTCTCCTGTGTTGTGCTCATGTGGAATGTGTTTGGAGATTGTTCACCCACAGGTGATTGTTCCATTGGATTCTGCTGGGAGTTGTTTTCACTCTTTGGCCAATCAGGGCCAAGCTGTGTCAGGGCTCTGGAAAGAGTCAGGAGTTTTCATTATTATCTTTTTAGCATTCTGTAAGTATCCTTCCTGTATTCTTTAGTATAGTTTAGTAATCTTTAATATAATAAAGTACAATAAAGTAATAAATGAGCCTTCTGAGAACATGGAGTCAGCTGCATCATTCCTGCCTTCATTGGACATTCCCAGCAAATACAATAATTCAGCATCACCAGAGTGGTACAAGGTCAGCACCCATGGAGGGCTCTGTGTGAACTGCTGGGGGTTGGAACAGGAGATAACACCCAGCAGAGCAGGATTAGCAAAGTTTGGCTGCTTTAATCCCCTTGTTACAAGGACCCTTTTGTTTGTCACAGGTTAGAGCCAGTGCTGGCCATGGAAGCACCTCGCTGTTGTTTTTGTAAAGGATGCCAGGGCCAGGCAGGAAAAACACTGCAAGGTGATTTGCAGGAATGGAAATAAAGACATTCCAAGTTGATTTTGTTCCCACAGGCACAGCTTTCCATGCACATTGACATCCAAAACCAGCAGCACACTCAGACCTGGATGGAAACAGCAAGCCAAGCTCACTGGGGTTTGGGAAGTGTCTGTTTCTGCTCCAAGAGATCCAACTTCTGCCAGAAGTCACTCACTCCAAACCACTTTCAGTCCACTCCCTCTGCTCCTGCCCTTCTCTGGCTTTGAGAGACTTATTTGGAACAAATTGCACTAAACAAACACTTTTCCAAACTATCTCTCATGCCTGATTTTCCCTGCTCATCTTTCATTCTGCTTTTGCAGACATCCATGTATCTTCCTAAAACATATATTGAACTGAGGAGTTTTTTATTTTTTCAAATACTCATTGCTTAATTTTTCTCCCTAAATTAATCTTCTTCATTGTATACTGAACACAAGTTTGGGGTAGAACATTTCACATCCACCTGGCTGTCAAAAGATGCAATTTAAATGAACTGCTCCCTTTATCACACATGAAGCTACAAGCTAACTGTAACCAAATGAACACAGAGATGCAAATCCTTGCAAAACTTGGAGACACAGACCCCTGTAGAGGTGACATCCTGGAGGATGAGGAGCAGGAGGAGCCACCTACCTACAGAGGGAAGGATTTCCCTACAGAGGGAAGTGTTTCACAGGACTTTGGTGGAAGATGAGAGGTGCCAAGGCTGGCCCCTGGAAGGGCTCCTTCCCCTCTCAGTGCAGGCACTGCTATGTTTGCAACCCTCTAGAACAATCCCAGCACCTTCATCTGCACTTCCAAAACCAAGCTAGAAATAAGCACATCCTCTTAGTTTCAAGTTCTGTCTCCAAAAAGGATCTGTAGCTCCTTCTGGAGTGGGGCACAGTAATAGGAGCCTCCTCAAGCCAGGTCTCATAAGCTCTTGGAGGTCCATTACTCACCCAAGATAGCTCAGCTACCTTTGGAGGCATAAAATCAGCAGGATGGCTTCTGTTGCAGTGTTGGGGAAAAAAGTTTTATAAAAGGCAAAACAACAATTTCTTTGCAGGGAAAAACCAATCCAGGTGCAGGAGGTTCTTGCTCCTGGTAATACACTTCATAAAAGCCATTAGTTTCTTGGTTCTCTTCTTTTTCTAGTGAATTGCTCAGGTGGGACTTTTTGGCTCGTGCCCAATTGGCTATCGTTAAGTTTGAGGTGAAGACGCCCAGGTCCTATGAGGTGGCTTTTTACCACTGAGGAGAAAAACTTCTGGGCTTTTTTCTTTTTTAAGGGGACAAAGGACAGTTTTGTCTCTCCCTCAACAGGGGGCACATTCCTATAGGGCACAAACTCAGCTGGGTCTCAGCTTGCTCCCAGCATTTCCCAGGGAGCTCAGGAGCTGCAGGGGACGCCCTGCTGAACCAGGTAACCCCACAAACTCCAACTTTCACCTCTCCTATCAGTGCACATGGAGAGGAAGTAAGGCATGGGTAGCCATGCGCACCAATTATCTGCTCCAAAGTGAAGCCTGATGCTTCCATACCGTGCCTTGTGTCATCACCTGCTGCGAGTGCTGCAGTTTCCCTGCCAGGCTGGTACAATTCACAAGTGAAATCAGACACCCACAGCTCTGGGCAAGAGCGTCAGACTTCAAAGAGAGGAGGAGGATGAGCCATCTTGCCTGTGCCCACACCTCCAGCTGCCTGCAGGCACGGAAACAAAGGCTGGGGCAGCTCCTGTTTCTTTTCAGGGAGTGCCACCGTGTATCTCTTTAAGAATCACTGCTGATTTACTGTGGGTTGTCAGATCGAGTTCCCACTCACCCGCTCCATTCTTCTCAGGGCACCCAGGATGGGTGTGTTGACTCAGGTGCATACAGTTTGAATTTCTGGGACTTTTCTCCTCTTTTCTTCAGTGAAAGCAAACCACAAAAAGCCACAGGCAGCTTTGTCAGCCCAGACAATGAAAAATCTTTAATGACAACAAAGTCCAGTGTTCCCTTGCCAGTAACATCCTGTCATTCCTTCCACATCACCCAAACACCTCCTTGTCCAGCCATGAACTGCTGACAGTGGCACTCACCTCCTCTGGCCAGATAATCTCTTCCCACCCATGTCCCTGGCTCTCTAAAAAAGCAAAGCCAAAGAGGAGTAAAAGCAAGTTCCAGCTGGAAATTTTCCATCTTTTCCATGTAATTACAGAGCATCCTTCCCAGTCCTCAGTCCTTCAGTGGCTCACTGGAAAGGGCAGTGTTGCCCTTTCCTCCTTTCTACATGGACAGAAAGCTGTTCACTCTGGAATGGTGAAAACTGCAGGAGGACAAGACTTTTGTTGCAATCTAGCTGTTACTGCCCACTAACCTAAAACTGGCTCTTCTAAATACCAGATTTGTCATCACTTGAACTTTATACTAGATTTCAATCTAGACAAACAAAAAAAGGGGAAAAAAGAGACGGTTGTCACTGGCTTATTTTAAGCTCTGTCATTATTCCTGTAAAACTCTGTTTAGACTGTAAATGAATCACATGTTGGATGTAGCTAAAACTGTTAGCGTAACATTTGAAATTCCATGCTCTGTGCAAGACTATTGCCCCTAAGTAACCGAGGGTTCTGAGAGATCTGGGGAATCTGTTGGGCATTCTGTGTCCTTGCAGGAGCCCTGAGGGGAGCAGCAGGCAGACTGTGCTTCCATCCATCCATTACACAGCCTGAGGGAGGATGCCTGGGCTGCTCTGCACAGTGGGGGAGCTGGGGGAAAATAATGTTGTGAGAATTAACAGATGAAACAGCCCAGGAAAAAAGTCAGCAGCTATTTGAATCTCAACTAAACATACAGTAAGAAGGCAAATAGCTGTGGCAGACACCTCCCTGATCCAAGGAACAGAGAGGCAGGGCTGTCAAAACCCAAGAGTGGAGGTGGGAGAGGATTACTGTGGCTCTCCCAAGCAAGCCCTCATGGCTCTCCCTCTGTAAGCTCCCTCCTCCCCTGGCAGTGAGAAGGAATGGTTTCCATGCTGCCTTCCTCGCACTCCATAGTGGAATGTGGTGCTCCTGAGCAGTGCTGCAAGGACCTGGACCTACCTGTATGAAGCTTGTGAACACTGACAGATCCAATCCATGCCAAGAGATGGCTGTGCAGAAAGGCAGCCCCGAGCTGGAGGAGCAGCAGGGCTGAATGGGCAGGGAGCAGCTGTGCCTGCAGTGACACAAGGCTGCTACAAATCCCCAGGACCATGGGACAAGACATTCAACACTCACCAAAACCAGGCCAATGACTTCACAGGATTTATTCAAAACAGGAGAAAGCTTTCTTTACAGACCTGATGAAACACATGAGTACAGAAGACAGGGAAGGTGTTCTCACCAACACCTGAGATTGCAGAGCTGCCCCTTCCACCCTGCTCCACAGGTGTCCCTGGAGCAGAAGCAGCTGCCCTTCTCAGCTCTGCCTGTGTTTCAGCATGAGAAGCAGAGCATGCTCTCCCTCCCCACCACTCCTGAAGCATGGAAGTGACAAACCTGCTCCCCACCTATGCAGAAAAGCACACAGCAGTCAGGAGATCCCCTCTGCTGGCCTGCAGAGGGCTGGAACTCATCTAGCAGCAGCTCTGTGGTGTTTGTGGTAATGGGTACAGCAAGTAATTCAACAATTGCAAAGGTAGAGCAGCAGAGAGCTGGAAAAAGGCACCAACTTCCAGTGCATTCTCCCATGTGTGCCTTGGAGCATCTTCCCAAAACCTTTCTGATCATAAGGGTTCTTCTGTACCAAGCCCAGCACTGTACTGGAAAAGTAAATGATTACTAAAATTTATTTTAAATTATTAAAAAAAAAAAGTAAGAAGATTAAAAAGTCTTGCAAGATTCACTAATTATGAATTACTTTCCTCTTCCTTTGCCAAAAATGTCACCTGAGTGGTTTCAGAAGTCTTACAATTTGGAAGGAAGTTCACAGATTGTTTATAAAATCAAATATTTTGGATTAGAAGTGTCACTTATCATTACACAGCTTGACAGCATTTCCATAAATCATCCCTAATCTGAAGAGCCCCTGACTATGGGAACAAATATTAAACAATTTTTCATGTTTCCCAATAGCCCAGGATTTTGGCTGTCACGGCCCCTTTGAAGCAAATCGACCCATGTTCATTGTATGATCCTGCCTTGTGCAATCTCTGCTTAGAAAGCCTCTCCTGTGCCTCCCCTACCCTGTCATCAGCTGAGATGAAGCCAGAGGTGTCCACGTGCTGCAAGAGCCTGGCTCCACTGGGAGTCCATTTATTGCAGTGACTCCTGCAGCTCAGTGGCTGTACCACAGAGAGCCTTACAGCTCAGAGTCGGTCAACAAAGTCCTAAGAGCAAGCCTTGCTACGTGGAAGAGCTGTCAAAACACACCAGTGCTTAGACCTAACAAATCTGACAACCCTGATTTAAAAAGTGCTTTGAAAGTCAAGGAAAACTAAACCCAGTAAAACCAATCTGTCAGCACTGCACTTTGCGGAAGCCAGGCAGGGTGACTTTGCCATGAGTGTAGATGTCCTCATCTGTGCCCTGGTTCATGTGCTTCACCAGGTTCTTCTCAAACAGGAGGGGGTGGTAGGCTCCCATGGTGCAGGCGTGGTCGTGGAACTTCTGGTAGTAGTGGCAGATGTCTGTCTGCCTCTTGGAAGGGAGGAACTCGTACACATCCACCTGGTCACACAGTGTCATCATGAGCACAATGCCTGGGGGGACAGAGAGCAGCACCCAGTCACACCAGAGACAGCACGAAACACTCCACAGGGACAGGCAGCTCCAAGGGGAAGGGTTTCTGTTATTAACCCCAGTCACACCAGAGACAGCACTAAACACTCCACAGGGACAGGCAGCCAACAAGCAGCAGCTCCCAGAGTGTCCTGAGTTGACTAAATGATGCTTTTATCCCCAGTTGTCTGTTCTGTTTATGCTGAATAGTAAGTTTTGCACCTTTAGGACTTGTTCCAGAGAGTGAAGGGGGGGAGAGAAGAAGCAGCAGTTTGTTTTCAGACACTGCACTCACTCCTCCACATTCCTGCTCCTGGACTGTGCTGTCTGCAGATGGACAGACAGTGGGACAGAGCTCTCCTTTACTTTTAGTTAGTAAAGAAGTTCCCTGGACTGTGGTTTTTCCCTTTTCTTTGGCCCTGTTTAACCTGCTCTGGATGAACACCCAGGGCAGCACCGGCAGCTGCACCGTGGCCACAGGGCCGGGCCTGGCCTGCGACACTTCCAGCACTGAGGGACTGACCAGAGCCTGAGTGAGCTGAGCTGCAACCCAGGGAGGGACTGTCTCAGTTTGTCATCTCTTTTGGAGCAGCAGGGGGTTTTATTGTTTAATATTGTTTAGGTTTTATTGTTTAATAAACAGGTTTTTTCCACTTTTCTCCAAGGAGGTATTTTCTCCCAGAGCAGTTGGTGGCCGGGGCCAACTGAATCTGCTTTCCTAGAGGGGCCCCTTTGGGGGTCCCTCCAAAATTTGCTCTGAACCAGGACAAAGGGGAAGGGTTTCCATTATTAACATTCAGAGCACAGGGGCAGAGAACAAGTCTGGCCAGACAGGGCTCTTTTCTGAAGCCCTCCCTTGCCAAGTGTATGATCAACGTGATTTCAGCTGATTGTTTACACTGACAGCCATGCCAAAAGGACAATTTTTAAGAGTGCTACCATTATCTGTGACCTTCATGGAAACTTGGGTGTCTGCCAAGCGTGCACTGCAATTAGCTGATGTGAACAGCCCATCTCAAACCTGCCTGGATAAGCAGAGATGAGACCTTCACATTTGTCCCAGCTGCCTCTTGTGAGTGCAGGGAAATAGAAGGGCCTGTGCTGGGAGATGCTCAGGGATTGAGCAGCCTCTGCTCCTCAGGCTCCTGGAGCAGAGCAGTGCTGCCCTCCTGTGTCTTCTCACCCCAGGACATCACACCAGGCAGTGCTGGGCACAGCCAGATCAGATGGAAGCCACAGTTACCAGCTACTTTTCTTCTAAGTGCAAGAAATAGCAAGAATATAGCAGAGAAACTGAATCAGTGTGTAACATCACAGAAAATTCATGCATCTGAGATAGCAGGGGCCATGAGGAACTTTAAGACATTAAAAGAACCTAAAGTATATTTTGAACATGTCTTCGTCCACCTTTTCAAAGGAAAAATTTCCATCACACTCAGGACTTCCAGGGAACACAGAGGTGGAAACTGGAGCTCATCTGTGCCCTTGAATTTGGCAAGGTGATTTGTTTTACAAAGCAAAAAGCAAGAGGATTTGGCCCAAAGTTAAGCCCTGGAGGAGCTGCTGTTTGACGTGTGTGTCTTCAAGCCCATAACTCCAGTTAACAATTGTGCTGCTGAAGTCATTGACTGTGCTGTTGCACAGCTGCTCTACACATATCCAAGCAATGATGCAATGATTTAATAGGTGCTGGGCCTGGCAAAATCATGAAGCAGCTCTGATTACACAGAGACAGAAAGTGCCTCTGCCCCAGCAGTGATGAACAGAGGTGGGAGCAGACAAAGAGAGGAAGCACAGCAGTTGGGCAGCCCATGGGAAACAAGACTTTACATCTCTGCTGTGGTTTCAAATACATGGCAGCTTCCCCAGAGGTTCACTCCTTTTCATTCAGCCTGTCATGAGAGCTGCTCTCCACTAAGCAGGAAAATGTTTGCAACAGCAGAATGTAAAAAGGAGTTGCTTTGCTGAGGAGAGCATATCACTGACCTTTTCAGGGCAACTATTCAGCCTGACCTTCCAGAGACCCCCAGTAAGTCTTTATGCACATACACACATATATTTATATATAAATAATATATGGAAAAGAAACAGGCACACCCTTAGAATTCATTTGCAGTAATCAGATTTATTTGCCTGACCAGATCTGAGCCTGCAGGAGACACATCCTTCCTTTTGCACCCTGTGGGAAGTGCTCTGGCACTAGAAGCTACAAATCCTAGAGACTGTCCCAGTGTTGCAGCCTGCTCTCCTGTTTCCACCTGGAACTGGGCCATGTTTGTGACTGCTGTTTCAGAGGGGTGCTGCAAACCACTTTAATACAACTGAGCTGCTGCTCTGGAGACAGGAAGCTTAAATTTTGGCACAGGACAAACACTGTAAAAACACTCTGATAAGCACCATAAATCTGTAGCTGTCTTTGAAAGAAAGCATCTTGGAGAGTTCCTGCCTGCAAACTGAACCAGAAGTTTAGAGGGCAATTATCTTACCAAGCATTCCTGATGATGGTGGATTAGGCTGAATATGCTCCAGAGAATTCTCCTGCAGAATGTCCCAGAGCTGCCACTGCATTTTGGGGTTCAGGATATAGAAGGGCTGGTCTGGGTGTGCTCTACGATACGCCTTATAGCTTTCAAAAAAGTTGTAATCTGGTTTTCTGTACCACTGCAAGACAGAATCAGGAGGTCAGATTATTTCTGGTCCACTCTACTGTAACCAACAGGAAAGAAAGATGAGTCAACCTGCAGCTGCTGGGGAAAAAGATCCTGCTACACACCCTCACTCACTGTCCCCCTGGGTCACTGTGGTGAGCTGACTCAGTACACAGAGCAGGGAAACCCCAAATCTCAATTTTGTAATTTCATTTTGCACTCCCCAACAGCAGACAATGTTGAGAACTCTGCCTTAAATGTTGCAGACCCAGATCCTTCCCCACATTGCAATACCAAGCAGCATATTCTGCAGGTTGGTGTTCCCAGCTCAGCCTCCTGAACCAGGCTGAGCTGATTTGCACCCTTAAATTTCCCCTTTCAGTAAAAACTAGGAATGGTTTACATTTTCCTAAAGTCATTTTGAGATTTTTTTTCTCAATGTTAGAAATAGCTCATCCTAGTTTTACTGACTCTTAAACATGCTGTCCGTAGCCCCCTATGCCTCCTGGAGCTGTGGGACAAGGCACAGAAATAAATAGCAGTGAGGAAATAGGAAATGCAGGCCAAAGAAAGAATGCAAAGACCTCTCAGTTACAGCCAGAATTTAAAATAAAAGTGAAGAATGGACTATTCACTCCTACCTGCTTTCACTGTGAGCCTCCAGAACTCATCCCATATCAAACAATGCTTTTTTGTACTCAAAATCAAAAGTGAATTGCCAAGGGGATTGCACATCCACAGGTGAAAGCTGACACAGACCTTCAGAGGGTTTCCCAATCCATTCACAATGCATCAAGTATATGCCATGGCTCACTGCTGCTTGAAATATCCAAGCATCAACCACCAGCAAATCTTAGATTAACCATCAGAGAGAGGGAATCATCCTATAATGAGACACCTGCTGAGGTGCAGCAGCCAGCAGTGACCTCCTCCCTGTGCCATCAGCCCATGGGAAAGTAAAGGTGGTGACCCATCATCCTTGGCCTGAGGCCCTTCACAGGGATCAGAAGCAGGCAAGAGTTTTCTTAGGAGCACTCATGCATGGGGTACTCACAAAAGTACACAGATATATCCATAAAACAAAAAGGCAAACAAGAAAGGCCTTGGAATGAGTGATTGCACATTAGGAGGAAGTGGTTTAACAGAAGCACTTCAAAGCATGTGAATCTGATTTTATTTACAAAAAACTCAGCCTTACCTCATGAATTTCTGCATGATATGGTGCTGGATCCCAGACAATTAAGATTCCAGTGTTATATAATGGTTCCTTCAGGAACTGCTGCTCTTCAACAGTTACAAGCTTGGAAAACAACAACAGATACATTGATATGCAGTTTACTATCAGAATTAGCAGGCAGCCAAGCAATAAAACACCTGAAAATGGCCAGAGCCACCCCACTTGGTGGAGAGTCTCAAGAGAAGCTGCTATGATGCTTCCCAAGGTTTCCCATCCATCCATCCATCTCCAGGAACACACCAAGGACAGGAGCTGCACAGTGACCCAGGCTGTGTGAGGATCCCAGCACCACAACACCAGCTGCTGCCAGTCCAGGCAGAGCCTAATGCAAATACACTGTTGGATCTATCAAGAGCCTCCATTTTACCCAAAAAAGGCCTGCAGGTGGGTGGTTTCCCCTCAGCACCAGGAATCCTGGCAGCCTGCTGAGACCATCAGTGCAAGAGATGAGAGACTACAGCATCCCCAGCCAATCCTGCCTCATGCCAAGCCCCTCGTTGCCTCAGTAGAGCAGGGAGGGGATGGCTCAGGCAGGGGAGGCTGGAATCTGAGAGCAGCAATGAGAAGGAAAGCTTCAAATAGAGTTCTCTTTATCCACAGAGAGAGATAACCACCACTGCTTCGGACACCCAAGGGTAACCCAGGTTTGCAGCAGAAAGAAAACAATCCTAATCAAACAATTCATTACCTGTCCTCCTCACCCACCCACCCACAGCCATAACCTGTACAGGCACAGCTTGTAAACATTGAAAACATAAATCATACAAATCAGCTTCCATTTGTCCTGATTTTCTCCATAGATCTAATTATGAGCTAGCCAATTAGTCCTTGAGCATCCTGGCTGCCTCAGCAGCTGGCTGCCTGCATGGCTGTCCCCAAAACCAGAGTACAAGGATGCTGCAGCCAGCCCAGATGGGAATTATTCCAGAAGTTTCCTCACATCTGTTCTTAACTCTATGGGATTAGGCCTTGGCCTTGACCTTGCACTGCCTGGTTTCATTTCCTTACAGTAGCTAAACTATCTAGGTCACTGACAGCTGGAGTGTGCAGTGCTGCAGGTGTGGACACCAGGGGCAAAAGGGGCCCAGCAGCTGGCACCAGCCATCCCCTCAGCTGGCACAGGTGGCATGGAGCACTGCACAGGGGCGGGGATATGGAGAGGAGCACGTGCACTTTATTTCCATCTCATTGTTTCCACAGCCATGCGTGTTGGCAGAGGCACACAAAACCTGAGAGAGCTGTGACAGGCACAAAAGCAAAGGGACAAGAAGCCAGGTGGGGAGCACCTCCACAGCCACTGTTTCCTGTGTCCTCCCACACACTGGAGCTGGCTCTGGGCACCCCCTGCTAGCCATCAGTCACTGAACCTGTCTGCTGAAGGAATCTGGCTCCCATTTACCCTCAGTGTCCATTTGTTGTTTAATAGCAACAAATTCATTTAAATTACTACATGACTGACTTGTCTTGCCCAGATTTTTGATCCTAATTAGTCAAGTGATCTATTGGTTTTCTGGTTTCTTCTTTAGCCAGTTCACTGTGTAACAGTATCTTGTTCATACAGTCCCTATCCTCTTAGTACATTTACTGGCCACATCACAATGATTTCCTTCCTTCCTGCTACCAGCAGTCAATGTCCTGCAATCCAAACATGCTCTCCTTTCCCACCACAGCCTTGCTCCATTCCACTGATGTGCTATCTCCTTTCTCTTCCTCCCTGCAGACTGTGAGTGCCAATCACAGCAAAGGCAGCCAAAGCAGAGAGTGCTCTCTGTGACAGCAAGAAGCCACCCCAGGAGAACTGGAAACAAGGACTGGGAAGAACAAGGTACTGTGGCCCTTGGTCAGCTCTGCAGAAAGGAGCTGTGTCCTCCAGCTTGACATTGGCACCCCCTCACATGTACCTCTGCCCTTGTTTTTGCAAGATGTGACTGTTTCCCAGGGCAAATCAATGCCTGGTGTCAGACTGCAGGAAAACATGCCACTCAAAAAGCAGCAGTACTGATGAACCAGTCAAGGCCTGAGAAAATAAATGAGGCAACATTAAATAAATTCTTTATTTAGAACAGCTATGAAGCTTGTGGGCTTACAAGCATATTCTCAGATCTGGAGCTCCTAAATTTCTTGCCTTCTTGTCAGTACCAATCCATTAATCTTTCCCTATGCACACAGATGTACAAGATACTCCACTCTACTCTTAAAAACTTCTGCCCCATGTATGTCCTAGAGACTGACCAGAAAATTATCTTAAAATAATTATTAAGAAACTCAGGGCCACTGGCCATGTGTGCCAAAGGGATATTACTCAATACAGACCAGCTTTGACAGATCAGATTTAGGAGATCCCATTTCCTTCACTTTGGCAGCAGACTGAGGTTGATCAGCAGCAGGAGCCAAAATAAAAGCAGCCAAGCCCCAAACCCATTCCTTTTCCCAGTTATAACACAAGAAAAGCCAGCCCAGAACAAGAACAAATGACAGCTTGTCCAGTACCTGATGTCTGTAAGAGCTCTGGGCAAGGCAAGATAAGGCACAGCTCCTGCAGAAAGCTAAAAGGATAATGTGATCAGGCCACCCCACTACCAAGAAGGTTTAAATGATGTCACCAAGACTGAAAACAGCACTGAACCATTCAAAGTGCAAATAAAAACATGTAAGAAAATCAGGCTTCCAATCCAATGGTCTCTGAAGTTAACAAACTGCAGTCAGAGCTGCTCAGTTTAGAAACCCCAGATGAGACTCCTGCACTACACACATGGAAAACATCTTTTCCCTGGTCAGCAGCCAGATCAATGCTGCCTTCTGAGTCAACTTCAGCCTCTACAAACTGCAGCAATATTGCTCTGTCTGCAAGTGAAGTTTCCTGAGGGTTCTCCATTCAGAGGGAACATCACCCATGACTGCAGGCTGATCTCATGGAGAACAGAAGCACTGGAATGACGTGGCTGTAACTCCACTTGGTCCAAAGTAGGAGAATCCACATGGAGAGCCCTATCACAGCTGTACAAGCACACAGTTACCCTCCTCCCTGAGCAGATAACACTGACAGCACAGAGGTCATGCACATATTTTCATATCACTGTAAGCTTGGCCATGAGCACATCCTCCAGAGAAAGTTTGCTTAAGTGATAACACCTATCTGACATCAGAAAAATACACAGAGACAGGAAAGATTAAAAAAAAAAAAAAAGAAAAATGTCAAACAGGGCAGAGAAGTCAGCAGCCAGATCTGTCTGCTCAAACCAGACTGGTTCAGAAAGGACAAACTGTCACCCTTCTGACTGGGGGTTTAATGGACAGGAACTGAGATGCAGCAAGCAACAGCAAAGAGCATGGCAGCAAGTGAAGAGTGGCCAAAGAGGTGAAAGAGGTAGCAAAAACATTCACACAAGAAGCAAAAATATCTTTTAAAAGACACACAAAATGAAGGAGGCAAGCTGGTTACACATTAGCTCTGTCTTCTTGTCTTTGAAGAGGATGGTCAGCCTCCTGCTGCTGTCTTGAGAAACTTCAAACCTTGTTACACAGCAGCATAGATGCTCTCCTCACACAGAGGCAGGTGAGAAAACTCCAGGCCTACAAGTCTTAGCTTTGGGGTAAGGAAAAAAACTGCCTTTTTGCTTCAGGCCTACAAAAGCTACACTTCAGCCACTCATCTCTCCCTCATTCAGTTCCTCAGCCTTCATGTGCCTACAACCTCCTCTTCCTCCTCTTGTGGGGTGAGGAGATGCTTGTACCCAGTTCTGCACCAGGTCCTTTAACCAAATGTCTCCTGGCCTGTTCAGTCCTGCTCCATTCTCTCACCAGCACATCCTACTGTGATTTCCTCTTTTCTCTGCATGTCTACACTTGAGGATTCCTCCCCCCAGAAAGGACAACCATGAAGGGTAACAGGTCTGTGGAGGAGAGGTGCAAGCATTCTGAGATGTGCCTACAAGAGCAAGGGTCTCACTCTGTTGCTGGACAAGGGGCAGGCTGACTCTGCTAATGCACTGTGGCACAGGGTGCTAACCCTGGACAGTCTGGCCAAAGGCAACCAGCAAAGGGACACCTTGGTGCCTACATGGACCTCTCAGAGGCAGGGAAGATTTAACTCTGTGAGCAAGGCCTTGCATTAAAGGCACTTTTTGCCATGCTCTGCAATGAGGTCCTGGACCCACCAGAGCCCATCTCTCTCCTGGCTGTGCACAGGCTACGGATTTACAGGTGGGTCTTTTGTCAAGAGTCTTCAGCCATGTAGCAACCCTGGTTAATGTGTTACCTCCAGAGTCTGCAGCCAGAAACACTGTTCTTTTATTCAAAACCACATAAACATTCTTCATACCCATCTGTGGGCAGGCACAACTCATCCCCTGGCACACTTCTCCTTGCTGACCTGCACTGGCTGAGCTGTTCCTGCCTCTCACTCCAAAGACACAGCAGCAGCATGAAGCTGGCCTTCTTGTGCCTACACAGAGCCTTTGAGCAAAGACAAACACAGATTACCTTGTGCCTGCTGTGAATCACAAGCAGGCTACTGCAAGTTTGCCAGTGCATGCCAGTGCCACTGCAGTGACCTCAGATTTACCAACTGTCCCCATTCCAAGGAGAACAGCCATGTGCTAGGGACTGGAGAAATGAGATGGACAGCCCTGCTCTTCCCAGCTCCCAGAGAGTGCAGCCACACAGCTGTGCCATGCTTGTCCTGCTTGGTGCCCCCTGCTCAGACGTACCTGGGAATTGACAAGACGAATTGTGGTCTTCTGGCCCACGTCATCCTGGAAGCCCCTGACAGGAGCCCCGTTGAAGCGCAGGACGGCGTCGTGGCTGTCTGAAAGCCAAACAGAGGGAAAAGCTGTGAGCCAGCAGCTGGATTTGAGTGACACCACCACCAAGTGACATTATTCACCTGCACTTCTAATGCAGTCTGCTAAATCCCTGGCTTTCAACCCAACATCTAGAAGTAGCAAGTCAGATTCTTTGGAGGAAGATGTGGCTCAAAGTTTATGATCAATACACTTTTGAAAATCTGCTCTTTAAAACTACAACCAGCTGCCAGGTTGAGAGCACAGCCACAGCATTTGCTCTCCCTCTTCCTCCTTCCAAACACTTTACCAGGAGACAGACCAACACACAATTAATTTCCCACATGGCTGACTGCAAACCAAGAAACTAGGAAGTGTAGCAAGCCAGCATCCTCTCCTCCAGCCTGGAGGCTGACCAGCTCAGAAACATGCACACCAACCACAGTGCAAAGCCAAGCTGTCCTCAGCCTGCCAGCATGCCTCCCACTGCTGTGCCTCCCACAGACACAGCTTCTTACATGCCTTGGGGTTCACTGCATTTTCCTCTGCTGGCATCATCTCTTAAGATAGCACAGCATTCCTCCAGCCCCCTCCTCTGCCTTGGCACAGCCAGCCAGGCCACTGTAACATCCTGGAGTCAGGCTGCTGCTGTGACACCAAGGGAGGATGTGCTCTTCCCTGCCTTGTGGCTGCATTTGGGTAGGAAACGTTCCCTGTGATCACAGGGGCTGAGTTAGGGAAGCAGGATGATCTTTCCTGCATTCACACTGAGCCCACATGACTGCAACACACAGCACCTGCAGCAGGGTCTGTGGGAACTGCCAAGCTCCAGGGCAGAAGGACCCACCTGGTCCAGAACTGGCTCTTTTTGAGATCATTTTCTTGAAAATGGGAGTGTTCTAACAGGCAATGCTGGAGGATCAGTAATCCACGGCAGCAAAGACTGATTTCTCAATTTTATTCTCCTGGACAAGTGGGACTTGTTAAGAGCCCTTCCAAAGCACCATCCAAAACCAAGGAAGGTGATGTCTCTGGAAAAAACTATCTCCATGCTGAGCAGTGGCTCTGCAGTTTTCACCACAGACCCTTAGCTCCACATCCTGCCTGCACTAACACAATCCAGGGTTATGACTTCCCCATCTGTAACTTCAGCCAGACACCAAGCATTGCTCCAGGTTTGTACATTAAAAGGGTGTTTAGTGACTGCTCAGGCACAGTAGCTGGCTCTCTGTCCCCAGGTGCTTGTGCTATCCTTGGTATCTCTCACATCAGATTTTTCAGTGGAAATTTATAACCTTCAGTAATATCAAGAGCCCAGTAAAAGGTGGCTGTTTACAACCCTGTGCTGCTCTGCCAGCCTCCCTTGCTTTACCTAATTGCTCATTTGCTATCTTAACATGATTAGATAGAACAAATATTTCATGGAGTTATTACTCAGCAATCCATTGTGCTCATTTACACAAATACTTCATTTTAAGCTTCATTTAGTACCTTTTAAATAACTTCCTCCAACACCACCACAACATTTCCTACATGGAAAAAGTGGGGAAAACTGTACAGAAATACACTGAATGCTCCTGAATTCTTAATAGTCCCCTTGCCTAGCTCAAGGCTGCAAGTGCTCAAACTCTGCAGAAACACTGCTGGAACAGAAGGGTGAAAGTTTGTGACCCAGGCACAAGAAACACATGGCAGGGACAGCAGCAGGGGTTAATGGCATTTGCCAGTGACCTCCCCAGCATCCGTCCCTTGTGATCTGCAACAAACCAATGCTTCAGTGTGGGGAGGGCTCAGAGAGTGGCTGTGGGAACAATGACAGGGCTTTGCCTGTCTGACATCTGTGCCAAAGCACAGCCTGTCCCACTTGGCTGCTCCCATACCCCTGCAGAGGTGCAGGGACTGCATTCCATCACCTCCCACTCCTGTGAGGGTCTCCTTCCAGAGGAACAAGCTCTGGCAGCCCTGGGCACAAGGCAGCTGAGCTGGGGAGGCTGCTCAACAGGAGGGCACTTCTGTGCAAACCTTTGGCTCTGAGCTCCAAGAGGCACCCAAACAACCTAGAAAGGTGCTTGAAGGAAAAAGAAGAACTGCTTCCTCAAGTCTTGACTCATCTCACTTCAAACACCCCTAAGAGGCAGAAACAACTACACCAACCAACTCTCACCTGCAATTTGTACCAGGAGGCAATGCTGGTGTTCACTGCATATTTCAAAGCATTTTTACACACTTCCAACTGCTCAACCTCACTCTAGCTCCTGCTCACCTGCCTGTGGACACAGAGGAGTGTGGGGGAGAACTTCTGAGCAAGTACTCAACACTCTCTCCTACAAGGGATATGGTTCTGAAGGCTTTGCCAAAGTTGTTCATGAATGGTGCATTAAAATCTACCCATCTACTGTTTCAGAAGATGAAGGCTACTTAGGGCTTAGTGCAGGCCAAAGGGATCTGAGCCAACAGACAACTTATGAATACACCAAAGCCTGCAAACAATTTCCACTTGAGAGAAAACTCCCAGACCTTAAGAGTTCTCCTTCAGTGAAGCTACAGTTCAGCAAAGCATGAACCTTAACTGAGCTCCAAACACCAAAAAATGAAGCAAGCTGAGGAGCTGCAGGCTCTGGAGAATTTTCTGCCTGGTACAAAATCCTGAGTTGACTGAAGAGTTGGTTTCCCCAGCAGGCTGCTTTTGTAAAGACACAAACCACTTTGGCATCAAAACATGTTTCTTTATAATTCACAGTAAAAGACCAAAGCTTTGGCAGTTATTAATTAATGCATTAACTTCAGGTACATATGGTCAGATGAGACTGCAAATGGTGTTCTGGGCCACTCAAATTCAGCCAGCTGCCTTACGGCTCAGAATGAAGCAGTAGCACTTCTGGAAAGCCCTGAGCAAGAATTACAGAATCACTGAGGCTGGAAGGGACCTCTGAAGATTGTCTGTGCCCAGCCCTCAGCTCAACACACACAGCTCAGGGCTGTGTCCAGAAGGGTTTTTCCCCTTTACCATTTTCTTCAATTTCTTCTCTGAAAATATCTTCCAATGTGAAATATTTTCTGACTGTGCAATGAGTATTACACAACCCACCCCAAGCCCTCTCAAGAAACAAACACCTGAGGAACCAAGACTGCTCTCTGGTATCCAATATTCATGTGACCTTCCAGTGATGCCTGTCACCCTGGTTTTTTAAGATTTTCTAAGCCTTCTGATGTTAACATTCTCGTAGTGAACTTTCTCACACACTTTCTGCAAATAACTCATTGTTTGCATTCCTTTATGGAGGAGGAGAGAGTTGATGGACTGCTGGTTTGACCAGTGTCATTGGAGAGGTGTCACTGTCACCTTCCAATCCGCTGTCACTTTTGTAAAACTATAAATATTGGAGTCATAGAATAAACTTCTCTTGTTTTCCTTCACCTTGAGAATGGTGGTGAGCTTGTGTTCTTTCGTGTCCTATAGAGACAGGTGCCAACAGGATCACAAAAATCAAAAGGACTTGCTAGAATAGAGCTCCCTATTACTCCCATCTCCAGCCAGGGTGAAATATTTACTGACTTCAGAAGTTTAACATTTCCATTTGTTTTAAACACCTTTTGACCACAAGAGACTTATCAGTAAGAGCATGACAGCAGGTTACTTCTACCCAACCCAAGTTACAAACAACAATATGTGACTTCATGCAAACTGAAAGATACCAACCTATCTCTTGTCCCAGGCGAGATGATTTCAGAGAGCCTGCTGAGGACACGACAGCACAGCGACCCAGCTGTCCCACTGCTTCACGGAAGCTTTTCCCCGGCAGGTACTGCTGCCACTCAGAGGTTCCAAAAGGCCCATCTGACCTCTGGATCATGGTCACATTGACTCTGTCCTGCAGCTGGCACAGCAGCTTCTCTGGGCTGAGCTTAGCATTCATCTTCCCATTGTAAGTCACATTGTACTTGTTCATGGCCAGGTAGTTTTTCCTGACCTTCTGCAGCCTGGGTATGAGATTTCTGGATGAGCTGTCCTTATCCCATACCTTCCCAATGGCTGCTTTCTTGGACTTTTCAGCTGTTTCAGAGGTGCTGCCTTTTACTTTGTTTTGGGTACCAAGCCATATTTTGGATACCTGCCCCAGTTCACTGGCTGCTTCATGGAAAAGGCCTTGTGATTTAACAGTGTTCCATTTCTCCAAGCTCCTGTGTCCCTGCAAATCATCATTCCTGGTCTTCAAAGGATCATAGTAGCTTCTTCTGGTTTCTCTCCACAGGCAAACTGTCAGTGCCACCAGGACCACCAGAAGGACACACATGAACTTTTTCAACACATTGATGTGAACCATAGTGCACGGTGCATCCCCAGCTGGGACACTGGAAGCTGGCCCTGGGAAAAGGAAACAGCTCAGGTAAAATCATGGAGATCTGTATGCAGTGGGAGGGGAGAGACAACAGCAGGGCAATGCTAAAATTTCAGCCTGTTCAAAGATCTCATTTCAAAGTCTACCACATCAAACACCAAAACAAAGACCTGAGCTGGCTATCAGCCATCACATGCTATGTAATGGTGACCTGAGGCCACTGCCACTCAAACCTTTTTTCTACTCCCTTCCACAAGTGACAGCCAAATTTAACACTGCCAGTATCATACCAGCAAGCAGGGTAAGTCTCCTCATTGCTGGGCTTCATCTCCCATCCCTGACACTCCACATCCAAATGCCAACAAATGCCAGAAGTGAGTTTTTACTTGACCACAAGCTTTGAAGAACTAACGAAGAACATGATAAAGCATAGAACTGGAAAGAAAAAAAAAAGCTCTGAGTTCATGAGCAGCAGGAGCTTCACCAGCCTGGTACTTTGGTGACTTTGCAGGGAACTGCTGCAAGTCTGCAGTGGGCTGAGTGCACTGTCAACATCAAACCTCACTGAACACCTGATGGAAGGCAATTAAACCCCAGTATTTTTGGGACATATGATTTGGGACATGTTTGGGCTCATGAATGCACTTGGATGAATATCACACCAGGTAAGTTACCTCTGCAGAAAGCAAAGCCAGATGCTGTTGGACAGCACTGCCTGTCCTCCTTTGCACTGCCTCACACTAGCAGATACCTCCAGCTCCCATCATGTCAGGAAAGTGGGAATCCAACAGGATGACTGCCCAAGTAGCAGCTCAGATTAGACTGATTTATGGGGGTTGGTGCATAAAATATACACTGATATATAAATCTCTCCCAGGCAGCACACAGGACCACAGAAGCCAGGACAGCAGCTGCTCATTTCCCTACATGGCTGCTCCAGATGTGTCCAAAAGCATGGAGCAGTATGGAGGCTCCAGGTGTCCTCAGGAGACAAACACATTCAAGTCACAGCTGTTCCCAGAGAGGCACAAGCAGCAAATTCCTCCCTGAGTAACCTGCTGAAAGCAAACCCTGCAATGCTGAGAGGTTACTGAGCTGCAAACACTACCTGGGGATAAAGCAGCAGCTCTCCAACTCAAGTCATTTCCGGCTGTTGGCAGATTTTCCTCCAAGGGCTTAAGCAGGATATCCCAAAACAACAGTTCTGTGATGTGCTGAAGAGTTCAAGAAATACCTGCAAAAAAGAAGAGGAAAAAAGAAAAACATATTAAGGAAAACCTCAAAGTTCTAGAGATGAGCAAGTATTGCCTCAGATAAACCCTGTGGAGCTGTTACCAAGGGCTGGAAGGACAGCAGCAAACACATTAAACACCACATAAGCATTTTAAATGTCTAAATGCCCACTCAAAATGGACATCTTTCTTCTTTGTCTGAAATCTGCTCCCAGCTAGAGCAGACTCAAAGGCTGCCTGCTCTCTGGTCCCACCAGAGCAACCAGATCCACCCTGAGCACTGGATACACCCAAAATACAGGGAGAGAAATAACCTGATGGTGGTGGTTCAAACAGTGAACAGGGGAAAAGAAAAAGCTGCTTTTCCCAGGGAACCATCTTACTGCCTATCCTTGAGTAATTCAGGCACTCCTGCAGAAAAGACTCCCTGCTCTTTTGGAACAAGATGCATGGAAAGCTGATTTAAAAAACATATCTTAATCCATAAGTCTTCACAAAACAGATAAATGGGGTTTAGACTTTACAGTTTCACTCTGCCAAGGAAATGCAGCAAGAGAAAGGGAGATCTGACAGTATTGGCTGAGAAATCGAGAAAGTAGCTTGCTTTTACAGGAAGTCTGAGTCAATACGATGACACATGAGCTAAATTACAAATGCTATTCTTTACAAGACTAAATACTAAATTATTAAAGCATCCTAATGCTGAAAACTTATATTTTAACCTTTTTAAGGAACAAAATAATTTTTCATAGAGCACTCCACAATGAAAAAGCAAACATTGCTGCGTTCCAGTTCTTAAACAACAGCAACAAAAAGATCTAAGAAACACAAGTAGTTCCAGCTTTTATTGAAGTCACTTACCCTGCCTTAACAGAGTGTATAAATTTTCATTTCCTTAAGTACAAATGCACTAGAAGGGCACACTGGTGGGGCAGCAGGAGGGGATGGCAGAGCACCCCATGCTCTGTTCTGTCAGCAGTGAGGTTCCCCATGCTGTTCATGGCTCCTGTCCTGCTGTGGGCTCTCAGCCTCCCCCTCTGCAGCTGGGACCCGCAGGGACAACTCACCCGGGGCCTGTCACAGGCAGCAAAAGGCACCATGTGGAGGCAGCTGCCTGCGCAGCCATGTGCTGATAGGGAAAGCAGTGCTGAGTGCCCCCACATGCCAGGCTCTGCTGGCAAAGCACACACCAAGGCAGCCTCGGGCAGGTTTTGGGGTATCCCCGGCTGGCTGCCTTCAGCCCGGATAGCACAGCCCTGTTTCGTACGGCCTGCCCGCCTCCCAGCCGCAGGCAGCCTTAGCAAGCTCAGCTCTTCAGAGATTTCAGCTCTCAGTCATTATCAGCTCATTAGGTGATTTCAGCTCTTGGCTTGCCAAGTGCCTTTGGCAGACGCAGGGAGAGAGAGGAGAAGGCTGTGTGAGGTTCCACAGAGGTGTCCTTTACTGGTCTTCTGTGAAGGTCTCAGGGACAGCATCTTCTAAACTGGGCAAAAGTAGCTCTTTATATAGGGCACAGGGGTTTTGGGGATTGTCCTGTAGTAAGGGGCAAAAGGAAAGTGACCTATTGGTCTTACAGAGAGATAAGCAAGGGTCCAAAGGCAGGGAGAGGGGCTTCTAGGGTCCAGTCATCATCTAAGGTCCAGGCATTTCCTATCTTAGGCTGCTGAACACCATGGTGGCCTTGCCCGCCCTGTGCCTGCTGCAACACACAGCAAAGCTTTCCAAACCCAGAGAACACCAAAGCAGAGCTCTCCAGTGTCAGCTTTGTGCCAAACTGAGTCACCTCCCTGTGAGCTTCACGCAGCCCCAGCCTGACTTTATCCACGCTAGATCCCTTTACAAGAGGCAAGGATCTGGCTTCCAGAACACCCAACTAAGAACTTCTGTGCAGGGGGGACAGAGCCCCAGCAGCCTTCCACCCTGCAGAGCAGATATGCTTGCTCCAGGCCCTGAAAGGACTCTGCCCTGCTTTTGACTTGAAAAACGTCTCCTGAGGGGTGGAGGTGGCAGCAGGCACATCTCAGTAACCATCAGCTTTTGCTTCTCATACTTGAATCATCTAGAAGGGTGGCAGCAGGTTCATTACAGTGGAACAACTTCACAGCTCTCTGCAAGTTCCTGCTGAGACACTCCTTGTGGTGGTGCACAGCTCAGGATGCCCAGCAAGTCACAACAACTCCTCTCCTTTCCAGGCCACTCAAGGGCACCTGGAGAACTCATCTTCTGCACAAATTATCCCCACCTCTGACTGTACACGCCACTGCAATGTGAACAGTTAGCTTGCTTTGATTTTATAGCTGGCATAGTAGGCTCTGCAAACATGTTTTAGCAGAGCCACAACACTTCAAGATACCTTCTGTTCCCCATGGATACTTTGCAATTCAGCTTAATGATTACTACAACTTCACATGATAGGATTTTATTTTATTGACACAAGCAGTGCCTTAAGAAGGGGGCCCTCTCAAGCATTCTGATACCAAACCTCTGTTGTGGAGAAGAGAAGAATCTGCTCTTCCTAGCAAAGTAGGATAGCTCACAAGTGGCTGCTTGTGTGCGCTTCTGCCTGGCAGTGGTCAGTACAAAGGTACTTTTCTAAAGGTGTTGGAAGCTTGCCACATATACAAAACACAAGGTGTCAGCTATGCGTATGAGGAAAGAAAGGACAAAAAAATCTCCCAAACTTAGAAAAATACAAATAAAACAAATTAAACAAATAGCTGTCTCCTTGAAACCCAGAACCTGACACAGCTGAGACTTAAACAAATAGCTGTGGCCCTGAAACACAGAACCTTACACAGCTGAGACTTAAACAAATAGCCGTCACCCTGAAATCCAGAACCAGACACAGCTGTAGGGTACAGCACTGGCTGGCATGTTAAGCCCAGACAGCAAGTCCTCTGAGGATAAATTAATCCTGTGCAGAGAACAAGTGAGGGACAGCATATCTTCAAGGCAGTCACATTCTGTCCACACACTTACTATTAACCTTTATTGTCCAATTATCTCACTGGTCTCAGGTCTTAAACCAGCCAAGTACACAAGAGTGTGAAAATCCTGCTCCTCTGGTGTCCCAGAGGCTGCTGTCTGCCTCGATAGCTGAAGCCAACAATGCCACAGCAGAGAACATCCAGCAATTCCGATTTCCACCTCCCACAGCAGATTTACCCTAAAAATGCTAACAAATATCCTCACCTCAAACAGCCCGTGCCTGTTTCCTATTGCACCCAGCAGCCGGTACACAGAGAAACCACACGAGTATGGACAAAGGTATGAATACATTTCTTCCAGGAAATGCACACAGCTTCCCAGATTTACCCTAAAAATGCTAACAAATATCCTCACCTCAAACAGCCCGTGCCTGTTTCCTATTGCACCCAGCAGCCGGTACACAGAGAAACCACACGAGTATGGACAAAGGTATGAATACATTTCTTCCAGGAAATGCACAAGTTGTGTCATCAGCTGTACCGATGCCCACCCTCTGCGCATTTGTTAAATTGGCTCTTGGAACCGCGCACATTTCCCTACCAGCCCGAGGCAATGAACTCCGCATGCAGCTGCACACGGGCACACACAAGCCTGCCTCTCTGCTTTTCCAGCCTCTGTCCCAGCTCCCCCCTGCCCAGCACCTTTCCCACCCCTCAGATCCCTCGCTCAGCCTCCCAGCACCATCCGCAGGGCGTGTCCGCCCCTCGGGGCAGGCACCCCCGCTGAACACGCTCCGGCCACATGGTGCAGCAGCAGCACAACAACGGGGCTGATCTGGTCTCCTTGTGAAACTTCCTTCCTTTATTTCCCCTCCTGACCACTTCTGAGCCCCGATCTCTACGCAATCTGCAATGACCTCAGGTTATTTTGCAAGCTGCCCCTGGAGCAGGACTAAACCCACCTGAGAGAGCAGTCTCTTCCCCTGCTAGCAGAAGCTTCCCTTGCCCCTGTGCTGCCCCAGGATCACCAGAGCCCCCGGTTCCAGCAGCCCCTCTGGTGACAGAGAGCCAAGCTCAGAACTCAGCCCTTCCTCCTCTCCTCTGCAGATCCCTTATCTGGATTCATCAGTGGGGAGCCCAGGAAAGCCCTGAGGGCCTTCTGATGTTATGAAACCTGACCTCTTGCTTTCCTACCTGCTAGGCAGCCACCAATCCAGGACAGGAGCCCTCTCATCCCACCACAGCTTAGGGTGGCCTTTTCTGAGGTTTGGTGAGCATTCTCACCAAAACCTTGAAAACTCAAGGTTTCTCTCTCTCCATGCTCACAACCTTCTGAAAATGACAGAAGAATGTAACCATGTTCACGGGGTCCAAGGATGAGGGAAGAGACGAGGATCTGACTCCATGTTTCAGAAGGCTTGATTTATTATTTTATTATACACATTACATTAAAACTATACTAAAAGAATAGAAGAAAGGATTTCATCAGAAGGCCAGCTAAGAATAGCGAAAGAAAGAACGAATAACAAAGCTTGTGTCTCAGACAGAGTCTGAGCCAGCTGACCGTGATTGGCCATTAATTAGAAACAACCACATGAGACCAATCACAGATGCACCTGTTGCATTCCACAGCAGCAGATAACCATTGTTTACATTTTGTTCCTGAGGCCTCCCAGCTTCTCAGGAGGAAAAATCCTAAGGAAAGGATTTTCCATAAAATATGTCTGTGACAGAAGAGGAAATACATAGATGGATTTGAAATGTGACCCTTCTGCAAACACATGATGAGACTTCTTCATTAGGTCTTACAAATCCTACAGGTGTCATTTTAATTACATTTACTGGTCTGAAGCAATGGATCCTACCACAGTCCCTCAAGCATAACCATGGCAAGTAACACCTTTAATTTAATTTAAATCCCTTGGGGATTACAGGATATGCAGGAATCACATCCACCTGGTCTACCACGCTTCTCGTTGGTCCTGCCATTCATACATCACCATAATTCAGCTGCAGTTTTCCACTCTCTGATGGATGCACAAAAGCTTTTTACTTTGGCAAGTTGTTCCTCAACC